TTGAAGTTATAAGTGATAGATTTCTTTTGATACCCAGTACGTTGGTCACTTGGATTTTTGTCACTCTGTGTTATTGTTAGAGATATTTTAAGATGGGTATGAAATTGTATAATTCAATGAAACAAGTCAAAGGTTTACGCCATGCTGAAAAGAAGAAGAAAGGAAACACAATTTATCAGCTGTGGAGCCTTCTTTGTGTGTGAGAGGGTGTGTGCATTTACAAACTGTGTACAATTTTGGTAACCACATTACAAAAAGGATATTGCTGCTCTAGAATCAGTTCAGAGAAGAGCAACAAGATCCATTCTGTTAAATCTTGAACAAAGACCACAACGTGACCTGATACAAGTATTCAAGACTCTCAAAGGCAATGAAGCAGTCAACCAAGAGGACTTCTTCAAAATGAAGAGTGAAACATGAACCAGAGGAAACAATTGGAAACTACATGGAAGACCATTTAAAAAGGACCTCTACCGAAAGAGTTGTGAGAGTATGGACCAAGTTATCCAGCCATGTTGTTGAACCTGATACCCCGGCATCTTTCAAGAAACAGCTGGAGGAGAACCTTGGATCAATTAACTATTAAAAACCAAACAGTTGAAATGACTATTGTTTGTAGCCTTATGTTCGTACATGTGTGGAACATCAGACTAACTTTCACTGCGCAAGTATAAATAAAAAACAAAAATAAAAATTGGTATACGTTTACATATTGAGAATATTTTTTCTAAATAAAATCAAACATTTAAGAATATACTTCTGAAAAACTTCCAAAACATTATCTGCATCAAAAGAAGTTTTTCTGCAAAAATGTTAAAAACTGTTTACTCGTAAAGTTATATTAGATGAAAAGCGGAAGAAAGCAGGAATATAAGGCTAAGGAGTCTGAAAGATAGACACTGAGATTAGGTAGGGGAAGATAAAGCGTCTACAAATATGAAAGTCTGGGAGAAAAACGCCAATGGAAATGTGGAATGCAGAAATCTGCAAATGAATGGAGAGATATAGAAAGAAATTAGTCAATTGTTCGATAGGATTGTGAGTCTTTCAAACCCTTTGTTATGATGCAGGCAGGAAAACAGTATAATTATAGTTGGGAGAGCTAGCAATTCATCAGTTTGGAGAGATCTCCAATCCTAACTATGCAGTTTCTCCAAAATGGCATTGCACTTTCTAGAAGAAACGCAATAGATGAAGTCACTGGAAAAATATGATGTTCTCTAGGTGATCCTAAAAAGTCAGAGGGGCCATGCATGGCTATGCTGTTGGATATGTACTTGCGGGTGATACAGATTAAAGCAAGTGAAATAAAGAGAAATACAGAGAAGAGAAGAAAGTTCATAATATTTGGGTTGGAAGGAACTAAAGAAAATTATAATTTTGTGAAAATGGTTTGAAGGTTCCACGACTACAGAAACTGCTAGGTGTCTATGGTGGTTCTGGATGTTTAATTCCACCTGGTACTGATGTTCTGTCCATGGTTAAGGCAAAGGTTCTGACAATGCAGTATGAAAGATATGAAAAGGATTTTAAAATCAGTCTCAGCATGGCATAGAATGACTTGGTAAATGTGAGAAAGTAAGAAGATTTTTAGTAGTGGAAGGGTATAACTTTGCCAAACTGGTTTGTAGGTTAGTAACACACTGTCACAGGTACGAGTAAGATACCAGTCACAGGTATTTAAGAGTTTTAAATCCAGAAAAGGAAGAGTAGTGAGAAACAATAACAGGAATTTAAGATGAAAGGATTACAGGAAAGTGATGTAGAAATTGCTCTAGTGGATAGCAACAGCATACTGATATTTATCCTACAACATCATATAGCATAGAGCATATAACATATAGGTTTAAAATGTTCTAATACTGTACGCTGTGGATTGATCTGTTCATACACTATAAGGGTTTTGTCCATAGTCATTTTTCAATTAGACAGACACAAAAAACACAAAAGGTTACTGTAAATAACAGCTAAGAGAAGCTTTACACAAACTTTTGTGAGATGATTTTAGTGTAAGTTAAACTGTTAACAAAATAATCCCTACAAAGTGTTTTAAAGGGAACATTTTGACTGCATTTTCCAGGATGAAAGGAAAATAGGGTTTAAATCCTTCACCCCTTTTGAATAGTTAAGTTCACTCTAGACAGTGTTCCAGATTTCTGGCCCAATATGTGTCTACAGCAGGAGGGGGCTGTCTGATCCTCAGACCACCTGCCTCACAATTTAATATTTTCTATACAGCTCTCCTTGATTTACTGCCTGCTGGTTGTGTAAACCAAGCATAATATAAATAAAGGTTTTAATGAGAAAAATAAAACCAACGGGGCCTCTCAAGTGGCTTGGGTAGCGTGGGGTTCATTAGCCAGGACTCCCCTCAGTTCCCAATTACACAGCAA